ACACAGTGTGCTGACAATGTTACACCACAAGAGCAAGAAGAGCTCTGGGAAACCAGATAAGCTTAATTTTTTCAGCCAGAAACAAGCACTGGCGTCCGTGGCTGCGCAGGCCTCAAATCTAGATGAAGGCATGGAATCTGAAGGCGGGCGCTCCGTGCAAGACCTGCTAACACCTGCAGACAATGCCCAAATCACGAAGGCTGATCTGGCATCGGCGCTAGACAGCCTGTCTACTAAGCTGATATCCTCATGGCAGCATATGGCAGACTCTATGAGGAAGGATATACAGGAGCTGGGACGACGAACAACCCATATGGAGGACAAATGCGACGAGTTCGCCACGGCCCATAACGACCTGGCCTCCAATGTAGAATACATGGCAGCCAGGATGGATGCTCTCGAAGGGAAGATGGAGGATCTGGAAGACTGCTCTCGTCGGAATAATCTACGACTGAGGGGCATCCCAGAGGAGGTCACTACTGAAGACCTACCGGCATATGTGCCTACTGCACGCCCATGCCCCTGAGATACCAACGGATATGCTGCTGGTAGACCGGGTCCACCGCATCCCCAAGCCCAAATACCTTCCCCAAGAAGTGCTGAGAGATGTAATAATGAGGGCACACTATTATCATATCAAGGAGCACATCCTTCGTGGTAGCAAGATGCGGGCCACACCACCGCCAGATTACCCTGACATCAAGATATACGCGGATTTATCAGCGGCAACATTAAGAAAGCGGAAGGCATTTCACCTGATTACAGCTACCCTGAGAGCGCACAGCATTAAGTATAAATGGGGCTTTCCCACTAAGCTACTGGTTGCTAAAGATGGAGGCATCACCACCCTAGTAAACCCGGAGGAGGGTGCAAAGCAGCTGAGCGCATGGAATATACAAGTCGTACAGACAGTGTCAATGGCCAAACCCGCAGGGAAACTTACTGCGGAATGGAAAAATGCCGCTAAGAAGCATTGAGCCCAGCCAGAGTCTGACCAAGGGAGAGTGGGACTGGCACATGTTCTAACCCAGGACTTCGCAGGGTCGCTGCCCTTGGATGAGCCCTCCGCGCCATCTCCCCCCCGTCTGGGGTTTGGACTGGATGTCCAGGGTGGGGGAGGGCTCGGGGGAAGGAGTGATCAAGATGGGCGGCCGGGTCTGGGGTCCCCCGCCGACCCCGTGACGAGGCGTGCGCAGAGCGGGACTGTCCGCGGGGGCGGCCGGGCTGCACGAAGGAGGTAAGGGCTCTTCCTGTTCCTTTGCCGGTCTCCCCCCTACCCTGTGCTTGGTTCCCCCGGGACTATGAACTGTCCGAAGGCGGCTATGGTCAGGCAATCTGCCACAGCATGATACTGCTGAATACGGACACTGCCAACTGCCTGGCGAGATTACAGCTGTCCTAAGCCCGATTACATACAGGTTGGACAGTGCTAGGCTGGTGGTAATTGGAGGGGCGAAAGGAACCGGGGGTCCGGGGTGGGGTGGGGGGGCGGGCGCTAGGGTTTATTGCCGGTCAATTGCTGTTTTTGTCAATGGTTATGACGATGTGATGGTAGAATAGGGTTGCCGCCTTGGAGGCAAACTTAGGCCACAGAAAAGCCTTTTACGCTATACCTGGGGACGTGGACGTGGACAGGGCCTGACTCTTACCCACTAAAATACTGCTCACCACATAAAATTGTTTGGAATAAATAAGTTTGCTGGATATATGTTTGGCAACTTTCTGTCATTGATCTAGAATTCATTTGGGGGTTTTAGTTAATAAGAAACATGTTATGGAACAAAAACTAGAGTTGTGAAAGCAATTAAAGAAAGGAGTATTTAGTTTTTGTCATAATCTTTCCAAATTAAGTTTATTTACTCTGGGAAAGAGGGAGATGATATGTATACAAACTCTTATTTGGTGCTTAATCTTTGGCTGGCATATATTAATCTTGAACAAGTGCATGTTTGCGGAATGTTTTCTATAGATTGTAAGTTCAATTGAGCAGGGTCCTCTTCAACCTATCGTTCTTGTAAGGTTTTTGTTATTGTCCTATTTATAGTTAAATCCCCACCTATTATAAAATGGTAAAGCGCTACGGAATCTGTTGGCGCTATAGAAATGGCAATAATAATAATAATACAGCTTTATTGACTTAAAGGGATAGTGTTAGAAATACAAATATATTTTCCTACACTATAGTGCCTTCTGGTCCCCTCCCTGATGGTTAAAAAAATTCTGTCCTTCAGTGCTGTGTCGCACTCTGCCTTAAACAACACTGGATGTCCTCACACTCTGCATGTGGACATCGAGCACCAGTGTAATACCCATAGGAAAGCACTGAGGCAATGCTTTCCTTTGGGGAGAGCCTAATGGGCTCGCAGCACCCAACGCGCATGCGCTGTAGGTCCCCCCCCATTAGGCTCTCCTCAAAGGAAAGCATTGCCTCAATACTTTCCTATAGGGATTACACTGGTTCTCGATGTCCTCATGCAGAGTGTGAGGACATCTAGTGTTGTTTAAGGCACTCAGAGTCCACTAGAATCCAGGAAGTCCCTTTTATGGCTGTCTGATACAGTCACTAGATGCAGTCTGAGCCCCGCAAGGTAACTATTGCAGTTTCTCTAAATCTGCAATGTTTTACATTACAGGACTAAGGAGGACAGGGACAATGCACCCAGACCACTTCAGTGAGCTGAAGTCGTCTGGGTGACTATAGTTTCCCTTTAAGATATATATATATATACATATATATATAGAGAGAGAGAGAGAGAGAGAGAGAGAGAGATAGAGAGAGAGATATATATATATAGATAGATAGATATGTGAATTCATGGTTAAAGGACCACTATAGGCACCCAGACCACTTCAGCTTAATGAAGTGGTCTGGGTGCCAGGTCCAGCTAGGTTTAACCCTTTTTTTTAAAGCTTTTTGTTTCGGGAGATACTCCATTTTCTTTCAAATTTCTTTTAAAGATTTAGCAAATTACATCAAAATCCAATTAAGACAAGGCAAAGCCAAGGAAAACATTGCTAATGGAGAAGGGAAATAGAAACATTGTTTAATTTCTCATCTTCTCAGTACCTTTCTCTTTGCTGACTGCCAGGTGCAAAGGACAGAGCTCATAATGATTGACAGGGAGCCAAGATGGAGGCCCCCAGTTGCAGAAAGATGTATGTATTTCTACATTTAATTTTATATTTCAGACCTCACAAATACATCTTTGTTAAACGCAAAACATAGGTAAAGATAATGTTAAAATCCTGGAAATTGACAATTCCTTTTTAAAATCCATAATAGACACATCACTAAACACTAAATGTTGATTTTTACTTAAATCACTGTAACCTAAATTACTCTTAGAGGAGAAAGGATTTCTGTGTATCTTAGAAAGAGAGTTTTTTGTTAATTGAAGTGTTTTGTTTATACACTGAATGGATGTTTATTATCAATTTTCAGATGTAAAATAAGTGTTGTGTGAAAGCCAAGAGTGGAGAGATGTTATATTCAACCAGGTGTGTTGTCAACATGGACAGGGGCTGAATGTGCAAATTAGCTCATCCTATTTTAGAGTGACAAGATGCTCATTGCTTCTCTGTCTCCTCGTTACTCACTTCACACTGAACTAATTGGATACAATTATGGTGATTGTACTAATTAAAAGAAGAGAGAGCGCTTTGAGATCTCTTGCTTTAGTGCCTCAACTGACCACTGACTGTTTCCCGCTGTGCAGCAATCATAAACTATCTAATCAGACTCCTGCTTTGCTGTGCAGTATGATAAAGTTCTATGTTCCCAGTAAAACACAGGTAATCCGTGGTAAATTACTGATCAAATTATGTCATCAGTAGATTCATTTTCTCTCTAGGTAGAGAAAGTGGAGGCAACACAAACTGATTTTCTGATACTAGTAATCTGTGGTCATGAGGTCATGCAGGCTTTTGAAAGAAACCCAGCAGTGATGGAGTCTGTCCTCCAGAAAGACTATAGTCTGAAGATAAACCTGATTAAGAATGGTGGCATATCATAGATTATTGGGTTTTCCAGCAACTATGTTTACTATAACACCTGAAATCGTGACCTTAAACACCTGATATCGTGACCTTAATAAAAATACACATAACCATCTTTCACATGTTATCTATATCATATCATTGTGAATACGTGGATCTGGCAATCACGAATGAAATGATATATGGTGTGACACATGAAGTACAGAAAAAATAACTATTAGCATTGAGCATGTTGATGTCTATTTTGATACTCAAATCCGACTGTCTCTCTACTGCAACACATTTCCAGGCTAGCCTGTTCTCTTCTAACTCTCTTCAACCAGGAAATGTACTTCCTCAGCCAATCTTAATTGTCCCACATGCTTCTGCATGAACCCATGTATGTTGTAACGTGTTCCTGTTCAGTCAATGCTCTTTTGAGTGAAATATCCTCTGGTAGACAGTAGCACGTGTCAGGCACATTTTGTTTATATTGATTTTCTTTAACAAACACGAGCACTGTGAAACACTTATGATTCACAGACTCGATTAGTGTGTCTCTGCTGCCAACACTTATAAGAGAAAGAGGTAGAAAAGTAGTTTATTTTTTAATTTATCTCTCAGAGATATTAAGCCACAGCCGTCTACATTGAGTTTGAGGTTTGTGGTTAGAGAGGAGTACAGTGAAGTTGTGATACGTAGGCCAGATATGACATAGAGGTACACCATAAACGTGGACTGTGGTTATTAATGATAGTCATAGATTATAAAGCGATCTTTCATATTTTTCTATAGCTTAGGCTATCACCATTTTTTCCTTTACACGGTATAGCTGGATACTACATACCCAATCTTCACCCATTCCTTTTGTATACTGTTGCAAATAAAATAGCAATATTGAAGTGATTATTAAAGACAAGGTGGTACTAATACAACACATTCTCATAGGTAGCTGATTCAAGAATACTGCTCATGAAGAATGAACCAAGTAGAGCAATAACTGTACTGGCTGAGCGTGATAGGCTGTTCACAGTGGCGCACCGAGTATATAGCTGGAGAGATTAATATACTACTGATTGTCCCTATGGAGGCAGAGTATAATAAAGCCAGAGAAAGAGAATATCTCATATAGTTACATGAGCTATGAGGTGCACAGCCCATCAATCTGGTCCTCCCTCCAGCCCAAATACCCTCCACGCCAATCGTGACAACTCAGGTTGTCTCCCTGGAGCCAATCATGTCAATCCAAATCAAGTGTTTGCGGTTTACTTTGAAAAATTGAGAGTGTTCAAAGCAGGCCGATCGCCTGCATACTTCAGTTAGGAATAATGGAATAGGACTCCGGTTCTATTTTGTTGGTTTTCGGAACTGGGGCCATGATTAAGAGGGATGGCTGGGTGCATTTGTATTGTGCCACTCAAGGTGAAATTCTTGGACCGGCACAAGACGAACCAAAGTGAAACCATTTGCTAAGAATGTTTTCATTAATCAATCATTAATTAAGAACAAAAGTCAGAGGTTCAAAGACAATCAGATTCCGCCGTAGTTTCGACCATAAACGATGTCGACTAGCGATCCGGCAGCGTTTATTTATTTATTTTAACATGTATAGCTTGGAGGAAAGACAAGACAGAAATGATAGAAACATTTAAATACATAAAGGAAATCAACACAGTAAATATATATATTTAAAAGAAGAAAAACCACCACAACAAGAGGACATAGTCTTAAATTAGAGGGGTAAAGGTTTAAAAATAATATCAGGAAGTATTACTTTACCGAGAGGGTAGTGGACGCATGGAATAGCCTTCCAGCGGAAGAGATAGAGGTTAACACAGTGAGGGAGTTTAAGCATGCATGAGATAGGCATAAGGCTATCCTAACTATAAGATAAGGCCAAGGACTAATGAAAGTATTTAGAAAATTGGGCAGACTAGATAGGTCAAATGTTTCTTATCTGCCGTCACATTCTATATTTCTATTTGTTTCTAGATATCACCACGATCACATGACTGTGATCGGCTGGATAAGCAAGATAAGTCAATTTTAAGTGTATTTTAATATTAATACACTATATGGACAAAAGTATTGGGACACACCTCTTATTTATTGAATTCAGGTGTTTCAGTCAGACCCATTGCCACAGGTGTATAAAATCAATCAACTACCCATGCAGCCTGCATTTACAAATATTTTTGAAAAAATAGGTCGATCTGAAGAGTTAACCCCTTAAGGACGGTGGGTGTGCTATGCCGTCCTTGGGGACCTGGCTCTAAACGCTCTATATATGTGTGTAAATTAGTTCTAACTGTATTTTAAAAGTAATATATATATATATTGATATCAAAATACATGTAGAACGAAATAATATATATATATATATATCTATATACATAAGTATATACGTATATATCACTATATATACGTACTAAAAAAGACTGGACATACCCCATTTGCAATACCTTGGGTTGTCTACTTTTGCACATGGTATGCCATCATGGGGGTAATTCTTATTCCTGGGCTACCATACGGTCTCAAAGGCGACGTAACCAATCTGGCGAAGTTCAATGTGAAAAAAATGAAAAATGTAACATGCTATATTTGACCGTGTAACTTCCCAAAACACCATAAAACCTGTACATAGGGGGTACTGTTTTACACGTGAGACATCGCTGTATACAAATATGTGTATTTTATTGCAGTAAAAGCAAACAGTATTATGACATTCACAGTTAGAATGTCACGTAGAACTAAAAAAAGTTTTACAATTCTTATTTTCTCCCATTTTCTTTATATTTTATTCATATTAAATTATGTTTCATACCTAAATATTTGATGTGAAATGAAAGCCCCTGAATGTTTCCCCTGAATAAAATGATATATAATAAGTGTAGGTGCACAATATGAAAGAGGTGAACAGACATATAGCGCAAATTCAAGTTTTTGTTTACGTTTTGTTTTGATCACAACGTGTACATTTGGCTCAGTCCTTAAGGGGTTAATAAAGTCACGTGTGGTACTGTGATAGGATGACACCTTTGCAATAAATTTGCAGCTTGTGGAATTTCATCTCTTCAAGATATTCCATGGTCAACTCTAAGTGGTATTATTGGAAAGTGGAAGTGTTTAGGAACAGCAGCAACTCAGCCACGAATCTGAAGACCACGTAAATTCATATAGCAGGGTCACAGAGTGTTGAGGCACATGATGCGTAAATGTCTCCTACGCTCTGCTGATTCCATAACTGAAAAGTTCCAAACTTCCACTGGCGTTAATATGAGCACAATAACTGTGCGGCGGGAGCTTCATGGAATGGGTTTCCATAGCAGAGCAGCTACGTGCAAGCCTCACATCACTAAGTACAATGCCTCATTGAGTGTTGTAAAGCACACCATAACTGGACTCTGGTTCTGTGGAGTGACATATCATGCATCTGTTTGTTTGGCAGTCTGACGGGCGACTCTGTTTGGCGGATGCCTGAAGAATGTTACTTGCCTGACTGAATTGTGCCAGCTGTAAAGTTTTTGCTGAACGAGGGCTAATGTTGTGGGGTTGTTTTTTAGGGTTGGACTAGGCCTTTTGTTTCCAGTGAAGGGAAAATCTTAATGCTTCAGCATACCAAGGCATTTTGGACAATGCAATGCTTCCAACTTTGTGGGAACCGTTTAGGTAAAGCTATTTTCTATTCCAGCAGGACTGTACCAGAGTGCACAAAGCAAGGTCCGTAAAGACATGGTTGGATGAGTTTGGACCTCAACCCCGCTGAACACCTTTAGGATGAACTGGAACAGAGATTGCAAGCCAGGCCTTCTCATCCAACATCAGTCCCTGACCTCATAGATGCTCTACTTGATGAATGGGCAAAGATTCACACAGACACACTCCAGAATCTTGGAGAAAGCCTTCCTAGAAGAGTGGAAGCTTTTGGAGCTGCAAAGGGAAAACCAACTACATATTAATGTCTATGTAATTAGAATTTTATGTCATAAGAGTCCCTGTTGGTGTAATGGTCAGGTGTCCCAATGCTTTTTTTTCATATATCAAAATACAGTTGGAATGACATTTTATAATAAAGAGAGCGAGCGAGAGAGAGAGAATTTTATTCTAATTGCTTTTATATTTTTGGCAGAAATTCCAGAGAATTTAATTTGCAAGCCCTACATTTGACCCTGGAACTTTCCAAAACCCCATAAAACCTATACATGGGGAGTACTGTTGTACTTGTGAGACATTACTGAATACAAATATGTGAGTTTTAAAGCAGTAAAATGTATAATGATGATATCATCTGCAAAAGTGCATTTTTTGTGTGTGAAAAATGCAAAAAGCATTCATATTATTCACGTATGTGTGAGTATGTAATGATCCTAATTTTTTTTTGTTTTGGATTTGTGAAAGATGTATCAATTTAGCAAACATAGAAATATGTTTTAGTTTTAGTTATTAAATAGTGAACTGCACTAATTTGATGCGCTACACAATAATCCCATGAATTTCCAGAATTAAAACAAAATATTATATTGACTAAAATTAAAAATAGGGACTCAAATAGACTCTCCAAACTGATATTGCTGTTTTGCATTAAAAAACAACAAATGAGTTCACCTTTGCAGTTCTCGCATTTGCTGCAAATCCCAGGGATTTGAACCTGTTGCATAAATCAGCACAATGTTTGGAAATATGAACAAGTATTTTAAGGTAAGTGCTCTTCTCTACACAGTTTTTTACAACTGTTGCAGTGAACACACTGAGTACGTATTAGAAATAATATCGCGTCAAAGTTTTATACTCAAGGCATTGTAAAGCAGGCCCAAATGTCTGCTGCATGCACAGCTTAAATCAGGCTTCCCCAAACTCCGGCCCTCTAGCTGTTGCTAAACTACAACTCCCATGATTCTATGAATGAAATAGATAGGCTGAGAATCATGGGAGTTGTAGTTCAGCAACATCTGGAGAGCCGGAGTTTTGGGAAGCCTGGCTTAAACCCAGCCAGGCTACAAGCCAGTGTGTTTTTATATTTGCCCCTATCTGTCTATCAATTTTCCTAACATTAGCTAGACTGAGGTAAATGAATGCTATAATAGCAAACTGCAGAAATTTTCTGTCAATTAACCTCAAGCGACTTTTTCAAAATGTGAACATTGAACTTTTTCTATATGGTTACAAGTAATTTGATACAGTAAATTGATAACACAAGGTAGAAGGATGACTTTTTCCCATAGAGGAATATGTTTAACGGCAAGATGTTAGTCTTTCACAGACACAACTGTAAATACCTTACAAATAACTTGCTTTCTTACACACTGTTGATTTAAACGTACTGTCGGAGTTCTTAAGTAAGTGTGACTCACACAATGCTCATTATCTGTAATGATTAGAACTCCATGCTCTGAGAAACACACACACACACCATTATGGAACAGTCTCAGTCCACCTTAAGACAGCGCCCATTGGATTGTACAGAAATAGTTGTAGTATGCCATGCTATGGGCATAGTGAGGTAGTACTGATATAGATGCGAAATAACATATTGTTAAATCTTTATTTAGTACATTAAAAGTATGCTGGCAAAAACAAGCTTTTTGGAATTTATTTAAATGTCTTAAAGGACTATTAATCCTAAAATGCAATGTTAGCTCCATTATTTAACAAACAAATATATATATATATAGATATATTTGTTAAATATACGTATATATAGTGTCACACTTTTGAATTGTTTAAATAATTTCTTAAGTATTGTAATGTGCCCTATCTACAGCAAAACAAGTACAATATTGCATGTTGGAGTAGGATGCAGCCCTGCAGATGTCTTGGGCTGAAGACATGCACTTTGAAGTGCTAAGTGTGATAATCTGTTTACCCTGTTTTCAGTGACACCTTTTAATGCAACCACATGAAAGTTCTCATCTGAGATGTTTGAGGTCTGTAAATCCTATGTACAAACATATCCACATCTGAAAGGAGAACTGGGAGGTCTTGAAATGTCACACTCAAATAACATCTACCCAGAACTCTCACACCTATCACCTTTTAGATTGGTTTAATTTTCTCTTTGGCCTGACTTTTGTGATTTAGCTACACTCAAAAGTAGCTCCCAGCATTCATGATCACACAGAGTATATGTCATTGTGATTGGAAGTTTCCTTAAAAAAAAAAAAAAAGATACTGTACTTAGAGAAATTTATGAAATCCCCTGGTACCTCACGGCTTGATTGTGTCCTTTTCACCCACTAAGTAACTGCTGAGTTTCTTGAATTGTGAGAATTGGGTTAATACAATGAACAAAAGATTGACTAATCTCCAAAGCAATTGCATATGCACAAAATACTGCACACATACTTCCACCAATCATGCAAATAGCCCTCATTTGTATTGATTGGTGGATTTAAAAAAAAGGAAGCAACCAGAAGTCAGTACGTACATTGTAAAAATACCTAATATTGTGTTGTTTCTATAGGGAATTTGCCAGGAATGTTATATTCTACACTGACATATTCTTATAATAAGATACATTTATGCATTTTCTTATTTAAAAAAAAAAAAAAAATTGGGGGGGGGAGGGGGAGAAATGTTACATTTTATAAATTGCTATACCTTGATATTTTTTTTTTTTTATAAAATGAAACACAAATAATTGAACAATACAATAAA